TCTTTCCCCGGCTCGGACTCTGGAGGCCGTACGTCCCCCATCGGGCTCGCCACGGGTGAAATTAGACCATCAGGCTAAGTTAACAGCTACTGCCTCCACCATGATTAGAGATTTAACATCTCACTTGGCAATCAGACCACGCAGCAGACATTTGAAATTCTCACAGAGTTTCTGTGCAGCAATGGATGGGTTTTTTTTTAAAACATGGGGGAGAGTACCGAGAGATTAGGCGGAGATTTTCTCTTTTTTTCCTGCATAATTAATGAGGTGTTTTCTACTCAAAGGGCTTGAATCTGATGGACCGGTGATGGACCGAAGATGTTCTCAGCGGGTCTTGCTCGTTCTTTCTCTTAACCGGCTGATATAAAACATACATCAGGTAAGATAACGTGGCATGCATGGCTATAGCTAACTTAATTAGCTAGCTAGCCAAGATGACGGCCATGTTGGTGGCGTGCATTGTGTGAGACAAGAGATGAACTTCACTGAGCGGTCTCACACAAAACTGAATGATGCCGTCACAAACTCAAAAAAGTATTTGTCTCTTGCCTGTACTGTGTAATAAGGTCCCATTGGAGGACACCGGAAGAGGGCGGGACTTCACCTCTCTTTAGCTCCGGGTATCCAGCAGCAGTCACCACAATGAGAATAAAACACTAATGGAGTCCGACGCTCTTCAGAGAAGTTGAGGCATTCATTGCAAAAATCTGTCTGATCGGGGCCTTAGAGGTGTGTTTCTTTGATTGACAGGAGGTGTCTTGGCCTATCACATTCCTGCAGGGTTCTGCACCTGCCCAAAACTGAGACCCTGACCCGACCCCACTGAAACCAAATGGAACTGAGAATTTGAGACCAAGATGGATAGAAATGAAAATGAAATTAAAAAATAATCAAACCTCAAGCTTTACGCTGAACAAATTGCAGCAGAACTCTTCTTCATCAGCTCCACACACACACACACACACACACACACACACACACACACACACACACAGACACACACAGAGGCGATAATAGGTTTTGTGTTTGTGATTATCTTTCCCTGACTGCAGGTCTTTTTTCAAACACGCGCGTAGGCTTTGTATTCACCGTCGGTGTTTGTAACAGTCGGGGTTCGAATGAGCTTCAGATCTGCTGTAGTTATCAAACCCTGGGCTCTCATTACTCATGGGGAGATCCGCCCTAAAATAAGACATCAGCTCAGACAAAATGGGGTCAGCTGCTATTTAAAAAATGACTGACAGCATGAGATTAAAGTAATGGTGGATGGTGCAGTACAATGGGGACGGCTGTAAATGAGACACACTGAGGTCGACCACAAGTTACTGGACATCTGAGGAGCTTTTCATCAGCCGTCTGTCTTTTCAGCCCTGAGGTCTCCTCTAAATTACACCATTCTCTCGTCCCCAGGGCCCTGATCGATAGCGTATTGATTAGGCCCCGGGTACACTTTCCATGGCACAGTGAAGGGCCTGCGGCTCAGAGAATACACGGACATGATCACACTGATCACGGTCAGCATCCATACGTCCACCACACACTGAGGGACAAAGAGGAACAAAGAGAGGTTGGAGTGCAAATGTGCACTGAATGATATTTAAATAAAGAGTTCATTAAGTTAAAAGCTGCGCTATCATTTCTTTGGTTGATCTGTTAACCAGCCGTGACAGTGACGCTGGTATTGGTTTTACATTGTGTGTGTTTGTGTCATCATGGTTCAAGCATAGTCTGTATATAAGAAGTAGACGTCGTCATCGTGATGTCACTCATCGGTTTGTGGACTGAAGTTCGTCGTTTTCGCCGTCGCCAACAGGAAGTGACCATATCTGGACTGAGGAGGAGTGACGTAGAGATGCCGTATACGTCTCTGGTAGAGACCTGTCAATCACTGTGTAGCCCCGCCCTCGAGCATCCCCTGCTTTATGGTCTGTGTGACTCTAAATGGACCATAATGTACTAAATGAACATCATGCTGTATTGAAGAAGACTTGAAACTAGAGATTGAGACCATAAACTCATGTTTACAATGTTTACTGAGGTAATAAATCTGTTTGTTCTGCCTGAACACAGTGTACGAGGACACATCAGAGCGTCCGACCTCACTGAACCACAAAGCCATCTGGCTCCGTCTGATCCGCATCAGACCAATCTGAGGCCGTTTACACAGATCAGACGGGGAACCCAAACAACATGTGAGAGTCATTTCACAGGGAAACGCAGCAGAGGTCTCTAAGAGATGCCAGCTTGTTACTGGAAGGCTGTGACTTAAACCCTCGATTCACTGAGAGAAAGAAAAAGGAAAATGGACCATGAAAAGTTGATGACAGTGAAACTGTATCAACATGGTGGATATAACAGTAAAACAATAGAGGTAGAGGTCACGAGAGAGAAACAAAAAAGCAACAGAAGGTCAGAGAAAGTAAGAGCATAAGAGACACATAAGAAACAGAACAAAGTAACGGACATGAACACAGAACAAAAGACAAGTTAAAAGCGGTTGTGAGTATTTTAGGCTGCACACCAGAGGATTTTCAGGTCACTGCATCCGTGAGGTGATGCGAGTATGATGAGAGATGAAGGTGAGGTAATAAAACTGCCTCCCTGCTGCTGGTCGGAGGACTCAAACCTCCAGATTGATGCCAGCGACCCTGAGAGGCTTTTAGGTCTGAGGCCGAGAGACGTTCATACGACATCACTCGCACAGGAGAGATTCAGCCAGGTTCAAGGACCAGAGATCGTTCATCTGTTAAATCATTCAATGCAACTGCAAGTTGTGAAAACTCTACAGCTCTTACCTGTGTTCACCTTTCTCCTGATGTGAGCTGGTGTTGTCCTCACAGTGAAATATTTGCACATCTTACGGTTGAATGTAAAAGTGGATTCAGAGCGCTCCAGATAGTGTCTCTGCTCCCCACGTCTAGTTCAGCCCAATAAAATCAGGAGAGTGTGCTTTTAAAAGCTCAGTTTAATGGTTTTAGGTTGTTTTTTTTCTCCTGCAGACCGGTGAGTCACGGAGCTGGCGGCGGAGCAGCCATGACATTTATGGCGTGATTCAGGTGGAGACGAAGCCAGACGGAGAGATGTGAAGTCGGGGCCGCTCACTTAACTGAGTTTGGTCTCGTCCCACATTATGAGACGGTCGTCTGATGGCTGATGCAGACGGACATCAGAGGCAGTTTAGTTCCCTGAGATTGTGGATTTATGTGTTGTGTGTTTTTCAGCCTTTTTCTTCTCAGGCTGTTCTCATACGCCGTGCGTAGCTAAGCATACGAGAAGTAGTGCATTGTGGTGCATTTTGTAGGAATCACACTAACTCAATTCATATGTAATCCACGTAAAACTGAACCATGAAGCATTTGGGCCGCAAAAACGTCCTACAGAGCGGGTGGGAGGGGGGGTGGATGCGTAAAACAAAAAGGGCGATATTAGTGTCGCGTGTGAAACCAGAAGTCAATGCTGATTTATTTGTCTCGTAACTTTGGTACTTGAGTAACATTACTTCAGTAGTTGTTTGTGTGCATGTTGTGGTTTCCTGTGTGCATCTGTGTACAGACCTGGTGTGTTTTGGTGTGTATTCATCCTGGATGCATGCTTTTCTCTCTGCTGGTGTTCATCTGTTTGTGTTAAGATGCTTTTAATGTGTATGTCTGTGTGTCTATGCACGCCCCTGACGTGTGTGTGTGTGTGTGTGTGTGTGTACTTCACTGTGTGTGCACATGACTGTCATGTGTGTTCAGGAAATCAGAGTAATTCTACCCTCTGCCTCATTTAACACACATCAGTCAGTCTGTTGTGTTGTCGTGCATCATCTACAAAATGTAAATCAAAGAGACACGTAGCAACCAGGAAGAGACTCCAAATGACCCCAAAGACATATAAAAGGACTACAAAGAGACGCACAAAGACTACAAGGAGACGAAAACAACTAGAAAGAGATGCAAAACTGCTGCAAAGAGACAAGTCATCAGAGACACGAGAGTCGACCTCTAGCTCACCTGGTAGAGCGAGCTCCCCATGTCGGCTGAGTCCTTGGCAGCTGCCGGGGTTTGATTTTCTGTCCTGTGGCCTTTGCTGCGTGTCTCTCACCTCTTTCCTGTCGTTCTCCAGCTGCTGTAATAAATGCAATAACGTCCCAAAAAGATGACTATTAATGAAAAAGAGACACAAAGCAATGCAAAATGACCACAAGGTGACACAAAAACAACCACAAAGAGGGAAGTTAACGGGGACTTAGAAGCTTTAATGTGGAAATAACTCTTCTGATATTATTGTATAAGACCGTCATGCAGACGATATGGACCTTTTGTATTTGCATTGTCTGGACAAAACAAGAAGTTGCACCTGATGTCCTCAATAAATTCCCCCAATGATGATTTTTATGATGCTTATGTTCTAAATTGTGTTGTCATGTATGGTTGTTGATTTTACTCCTTGTTCAAAGCAAATTCCCCAAGAGACAATACAGGTTTTATTCATTCACTGGCATTATTATTATTATTATTATTATATTTTTACCCGTAAATGTAATAAACTCTTTGACTAATGTATTGTAAGTTATGTATAGAGTAGCGTAAGTATAGTTTAGTTCAGTTTAATTAAACTACTGTATCTCTGTTGAACCAGAGAAAACTTCACAAACCTGTTTCTCTTTTTATTGTTTGCCTTTTGTCGCCCCCTAGTGGAAAACACGCGCATACCAAGTGCTCCCTGATTGGCTTAGTTTGCGATGTGCTTTTCTCTGATTGGCTAGTACAATTTTCACCGTCTACAAAAGTCTTCCGTGCGGAAACACACACAGCTTAATGCTTCCACCGTATTATTTCACTTAAAATATATCAAGCAATTCAATTTCTTAGTCTTATAGTTAGTCTTATAAAATAAATAAATAATGATTTTTAAAAATAAGTAAGTGAACAATATGACCCCCCGGTTTAAGAAGTGCGGCAGCAAACGTCGGACGTGTGTTGTTTCCTTCCGGAAGATAATAGAGAAGGGACCAGCTCGATTTATGGAGTTTCGAAGAGGAAATTAGTTTTGAGAGTTTCTCTCCGAGGCTGTTTTGAACCAAACAATGGGGAACTTTAGAGCATTTCTGAGCGCACCGCTGGTCTTCTTGATTTTCCAATCGTATCTGGTGTGCTGTGATATAACGGACGGAAACACGGAGCATCTGAAGAGGGAGCACTCGTTAATAAAGCCGTACCAAGGTAACACGGCTCAGCTAGCTCGTTAGCTAACCTGCTGCTAGTTACACTTTTATGTCTTCCGCTGCGTTTTTAGAGGATATCAAGCGACATGTGCGACTTCTTAGCTAACTAAACTAACTGACTCTTGTGTTACGGCTCATTCATGCGGACTAATTGTACAACTAGATAGCTTAACATGCATGTATTGTAATGCAGAGGTTGTGAATTGTTCTTTAACCAAGGACCACCTAACATATGAAAGATACACAGATTATACCGGGGATGTCCTCATGTATGTCTCTTTGAGTTGACCTTTTTACACCTGTACAGTCTCAGTTATGTGAAATGTACGTTTGTGTTATAACGTTACATACAGAGATGATTTGATTAGATTAGATTCAGCTTTATTGTCATTGTACAGGTACTGAGACAATGAAATGCAGTTTAGCATTTAACCAGAGTGCAAAAAGCAGTTAAGTGCTGCACATTCACATATTAATATACGTAATAAAATATAGAATACACATAGAATGTATGATAAAAGAGATTTTCTGCATGTTTCAGTTTATTTGCAAATTACTTAACAACTAACCCAGCATGTTGCTTTGTTTTAGAAATGTAAATAAAATATTATAGATATGTTATATGCCGTTCAGGAGGGTGTGGCCCTTTAACGACTACATTTGCAGACCTCTGATCCACGAGGCAGTTCGTGCTTCTGTGGTGAGTCTCAGCAGGAAGTTCTTTGTAACTGAAGCCGCTTTATCACTGCACTCATCTCACCGTGTGCTGCAGGGGGCTGGAACTGTTGCAGTTATTCAGGTCGAGGCAAGAATTCCATTATAATGTAAATATGTGTTAATGACAACACGTGCAGAGCGCCTTCAGCATACAGAAGTGTTTGTCAGGACGTGTCCTTAGAAGTGCACGTGGAGGGAGGTGTGTCTGTTTAATTCAGCATCTGCAGATCAGACTCACAACTAGGGATGCACCGGCCTGTGGCCTTGTTAGGTGGGACACTGAGAACGGTTTATATACCGGATCTGTTCGTCAAACAAACGACTTGATGAAACATGGATTCCTCTGATCGTGTCCGGTTCTCTCACGCGTTCGTCTCTCAGGTGTCGGCAGCAGCCCCAGCAGTCAGTGGGACTTCTGGGGAAGCACGTTGGTGACGAGCTCGTACGTCCGACTCACTCCGGATGAGAAGAGCAAGCAGGGATCCATCTGGAACACTGTGGTGAGGAAAGACTACAAACATGGCTGCTGTCCCCGTCTGACTCTGATGTGTTTGTTTATACACAAGTCAAAGCTACTCCAGCCTTTGGTTGAGAGCACATGTTTAAGCCACGCTCTCTTTATCGACCTACATTTAGTCTCATGTTTATATTTTCTCTCTTTCTTTGAATGGAAGATATGTATAAAAAACTAATAGAATATAATTACAATATAAAAAGTTTTGTTACCTCACATTAACTTTTGGTGGATGAAGGTAAAAAATATGCAACCCAGTAATTAAATATGTTTAATTTTATACCTGATAAACATTTGCGTATTATATTCAGACAGTGTCCTGGAATATAAAATCCAATGCTCTATGAAACCTGTTCTGGTTCTGGTCTACAGCCGTGCTACCTGAAGGACTGGGAGATGCACGTGCAGTTTAAAGTTCATGGGTCAGGAAAGAAGAACCTCCACGGCGACGGCCTCGCTGTCTGGTACACTAAGGACAGACTTCATCCAGGTAACGTTCACGAGTTAAACCCACCCAGCTTGATCTCACTTCAGGTCACGCTGGACCTTCTTGCAGCAACGAGTCAGAGTTTGCATTTACCCAAAATGCAATTCTCACCTGTCACCTGCAGCTCTTCACAGACCCAGTTCCCTTTTTCTTACCCGTGTCATATTTAGATTAAAAACAAGTAAGATTGCACTTCCTGCTACTGCGCCACAATAAAAGACTTCAAGAAGCTCATTGGTTGAAATCTGTCACATCATAATTTACAGCAAAGCAAAGTGTATCAAAACAAAGAGGCTGCTTTCTGTCGGATCAATATACGAAACTTCTAGAACAAAGTCTGGACCATGTAATACATATTTACTGAAGTACTAAAACCTTAACGTAGTGAGACGGCGTTCTCTCGGCTCACCTGCATGATGACGAGGTAAAGGTGAGAGCGCTGCAACTCTGAGAAAAGTAAATCTAAAGTGAAAATGAACGCTCATCGTGCTCACTCCATCAGAAAGCTGTTTTATTTTTTAATGTCCAGATGTTTGTGTCGACCCTCTCAGCTTCACTGCTGACCACAGGAAA